GAGAGAGAGAGAGAGAGAGAGAGAGAGAGAGAGAGAGAGAGAAACATCCATGTGTCTAGAGAGACACGATTGGTTGCCTCCACACGCATCCTGACCAGAGCCTACAACCGAGGTATGTACCCTTGGCCAGAATCAAACTCAGGACCTTTCAGTCTGCGGGCCTACACTCTAACCACTGAGCCAAACAGGCTAGGGCAATATTTAAATATTTTAAATATTGTTAAATATTTCTTGTTATGTTTGCAAACAGTTCTTTGGGACGCAATGTTGATTTAGGCCCAGTCCAAAGGTTAGTTTGCCCTGTTTTAACATCCCAAAGGGTTGAGGCCTAAGATGTACAAGGCAGTTCCTCTGGATGGTAGCTCTGGCTCCATTTTAAAGTGGCTACATTTATATTATTTTAAACAAAATGATCATCAGAATTGTGTATCTGCTAGTTACACTGCTCTTGCAACTTCTGGACTGGGATTTTCCTACTCTTTGTTTACTTGAGAGTGAAGGTCTTGACGGTGGATCTGCTTTTACCTTATTAACACCTTGAGACAGATTTGGGAGGTGGGGGACTGGTGGTGAGCATTTTCAGACTCCACTTCTGGCCCTAGCCCTGCCACTAATTGTATGACTTTTAGTCTGTTGCTTCTCTGGATCTAATTTTCTTTACTTGTAACATCAATAGGTTAGCTAAATGATTAACTCTAAAGTTCTTTTCAGTTCTAACATTCTTTGAATTTTTTGTTGTTCTAAGGATAAATCCTTAGCTAAGCTGTTCCCCTGTTTTTTCCTGGATTGTCTTTCTTCTGTCCATAATTTATTAAGTATCTCCATGTTTTTTTAGGGCAGGGCCTGTGTTTTATTCATCTTTCCTCCAGTATTTAGCACAATAACCAAGCAGGTGATTTTAACTAAGGTTGAAGTTAGTTCCTATTTAGATACCACCTTTGTCTGGAGAAGCTCATAATTTAGAGTGGGAAAGTGCCAAGCATCATTAATTAATCACTTAAGTAAAAGCTGAGGATAGAAAGGATTACAGGAAAACTGGTTCTTGCCTTCCTTACTATTTACATGTTCCAACAGGGAACAAGAGAGTGCTTGCAATACTAACGCTCATTGAGCGCTTTCATTGTGCCTTCGCTTTCCACGTGTTATGTCTCAAGTAATACACACACCAACCCAGTGTTCTACAGTAGTATTATCTGTTTCACACTTGAGGAAACAGGAACAGAGAGGTTAAGTAACTTGCCTACGTAACACAGCTACAGCTGACAGGCAGATTGGAAACTAGGCTGCACAACCGCAGAGCCCGTGCTCCAATGGGCAGAAGAATCGGAAAAATCAGAAAAATCACAAGAACAATCTTGTGATTTCTCCGAAGGGGACTGACGAGTTTGGAGGAGTGATGAGTTCAAGGTATAGAAGGAGCAGAGGCAAGTGTCTAGAGGAGAGAAAGCTGCAGAAGTTGGCAAAGAAGTTTGAAAAATAAAAAGGCACTTCTCCGAGTTGAATTACACAGCCGGCGATTAGGTAAGCAGGTGGAAAAGAACCGGTAAACAAGATCTAGAGAGAGCCCGGATCCCGGGGAGCCCAGGAACAGGTCGGAAATGACATCAATAGAGGGGTTGGATGCTCAGCGGGAGCGCGGGAACCCGGGGCAACCGGCCGGAAGTGGGGCGCAGGAAGTCCCGCCCCGAAGGCGGTGCCTGGGTGTGGAGGGCGTCGCGATGGGCGGGGAGGAGCTTCTTCGATCCTCCTCGAACCCTGGATTCCCGACAGGTAACCTGCTGGCCGAACCTGGACCCGGGCAAGGGTGGGAGTCAGGATTGGTGGCCCAGTGTGCTCGGGGCCCCACGCTGGTGCCTGGGGAGGTGGAGCTCATGTTAGGGGGTGGCTGAGGGAAAGGCTCCTTGGCGTGGGACTCCGCGGGGTGATGGGGCTCCGGGGAACTTTGGGGACGGGGTCATGAGGTCATGAGGGCCCAGGTCGTCTAGGAAATACCGACGGGCTGAGACTCCGAGGAATCGGTCATCGCTGGGCTCGCGGGCCCCGGAGCACTGGCGCTCGGGGATGGAGAGATGGAGCGTGGGCGCTGAGAGGAGCTGACCTAGAGTGCGTTTTCCGCCCGCACGGACTCCCAGTGCTGTCATGCTAGCAGGGGACAGGCTTCGTCTTTTCATCTCTTCGTCCTGGACAGTGCTTTGCCACTACCGGGCATTCTTTAGATGCTGTCGAATATGAGCTGAGGGGCGCGCGAAGCTAACTCGGCCTCAGCGGGCGGTGGGGGTGGAGAGGCGAACCTTCTGCCGAACGTCAGTGCCCCCACCTCCGAATGGAGAAGTGACTCCAGCGTAGTTTGTGGACCAGTGGTTTATGAGGGTGCCGGTGTAATAGACATTCCGGACATTGTTTTGTGGTTACTGAAATTTAGAAATGTGTCTTCATATTTTTCTCTGGTGTGGGTAGAGAAGATAAGGCGATTAGTTTGGCTTCTTTCAGGTTCGTTCACTTGTCTGGAAAGAATTTCTAGGTGAAGGATACCGGGGAGGAGTTGGGCATCAAATGATAAGGTGCAGGTGTAGCACTGAGCTGCTCATTTGTGTCCTAAGCGCTTTCTTTTCATAAATATGAACTCACTTTCCTTTTCCTTAACGTTTTCTTTCTTATATTGGGGTACGTCTTATATTTGAGATGTAGATGAGAATTATTTCATAACAAAGATGAAAATAGTAACTTATAAAAATCCAGTCAGAGGTTTCATCTGGTGTTTTCACATAAGGTTAACTTCTTCCACACAGTTGTAGGAAGCCTCCAAAAGAATAAGTCCCAGAAGATTAAAATGTATTAAATGTGATAAAGAGTGGGAATAGATCTAAAGAACAAATACTATAACCAGATTGTTTTTGGTTGTCAGGCTGTGTAATGGGATCTGGGCATGAATCACTATGTAGATGCAGTCGCATGAGGTGATAATAGCTCCTTGGAGGTTCTGGAATCTTATCATTAGATTGGATATAATGGAGTAGGAAAATCTGAATTTATGGCTTTTTTAAAAATTGTTTTTGTTTTTCTTTTTTACAAAGAAGAAACTAGTAGCATTTTTATATTTAAAAATTCTAAGATGTTCTTAAAAATAGGTTTGGAAAAAACAAAGTAGGCATGTAAATAAATATTGCAGTCATTTAAATCTAAAAAGTTTGCCTGCCTTTCAAACTTGTTTTCGTAATGTCTGGAAAGTGTTGGTATCCAAATCACCCCCATCATTTTATGCTCTTGCTTTGGTGTCAGCTTTTACAATGCATATAAATATGGTATAAAGTAAGGTTTTGAGATCCTCTAGATTTACATTAATATTAATGTCTTAAAAATAAAGTCTAATTTTGCTACCTCAATCTGCTGTTCATTTTGCACATCTAAATGTCTGTATTCATAATAATAACTATTATAACTATTATTCATAATAAATTGGTATCCAAGTGGTAACTTAGGTGTGTGCATTGACATTCTTGAGGTTTTCAGTTTTGCAGAACACTGACATCCATGGACTCTAACATGGACTTCATTTAAAGAAATCCACGGACCATTAATGGACAAAAACATGAGTCATTTTGTATTGTGGCATTCAAATCCTAGCACTTTGGGAAAGGTAAGTTATTGACTGTTTTATGTTAGATGACAGAATAGCCCTGGATTAACTAGGAAATTGTAGGATTGTGATTGAAAAATATAGGCTGAATCTCTTTAAGTTATGTTTTAATATGGACCTTCTGAAGAGGTGTGTTCTGTGTTTATGAAGCAGTCATTACTATTTCCCTATATATTATTACTACTACTACTCTTCTTCCTTCTTTCCTTTTGTTTTTTCCTTTTTGAGAGCTCCTTTCAACACTTTAGAGTCTGGTAGAGCCTGTCAACCTATGGATACCCTGTGGGAGTGGGGCATCAAAAATAGTCATTTAGCCCCACTGGCATGGCTCCCCGATTGAGCATCAACCTATGATCCAGGAGATCGAGGTTTGATTCCTGGTCAGGGCATATGCCCCGGTTGCCGGCTTGACCGCCAGTAGGGGGCGAGCAGGAGGCAGCCAGTCAATGAGGACTCTCTCATCATTGATGTTTCTCTCTCTCCCTCTCCCTTCCTCTCTCTGAAATCAATAAAGATATATATATATATATATTTTTAAATAATCATTTAAATCATCTTACATCCAACTTTGGCTCTATAATAATATAGGTCTCAAATCTTCTAGCCAATTTTATGCCTTAGGTTGAATCAAGAAAAGAGGCCCCAAAATGTCTTTTTTTCTTTATCATCCTGTCTTATTACTGCTATTTTCTTTTTCTTTTTTCTCCTTTGTTGTTCTTTTCAGAAATCTCTTAGATAATTCATTCTCCAGGCCTTTTATCTTTCTATCCCAGGGGGTAAAATTTCTCTCTTTTTTCTCTTTTACCTTTCCTAGGTAAAATAGGAGTTTGTTAATTTTGAAAACTTTAACTTCTAACTTTGTGATAATGTTTGGCAACTTTTAATCACTAAGCATTAAACTTGTGGTTTTCTTGATCTCCTTGTAGATATACTGGCTTCTTATTTAGAAATTGTTCAATTCTAAAATCAGACATTAATTCCAGAAATTCATCTTTTGGATATATTTGCACTTGCACACAAAAAATTTGTGTATAACGATATTCATCATCATATTTTAAATTAAAAAAAAAACTAGAAATAGCCTAAGCATCCTCCACCAAGGTCTGATTAAATAAATGCCTTCATACAATGTAGGAAGCAGATCCGTAGGTGGAAATATGGAAAAATCTCTGTGAGATACATTGTTAACTGAGAAAAGCAATATAGAACTGTACGTATAATTCTCATGTGTGTTTTTAAAAGCATACATTTATATATACATGCAAAATTTCTTTAAATCTATGTAATACACTATTATGATATGTATCCACATATATGATTAACATAGGTATTCCTGGGGAATGAGACTACAGGTCTAGAGTAGGAAGAAGACTCATTTTTCTGTATACTCTTTTTGGTGGGTTACATTTGTTTTTTTTCTTACTGTGAACATGAATTTTTTTTTTTTATAATACTAAGAGACAAACCAACAACAAAGTTTTAGGCTAATTTCATAATTAGGGGAGCCTGTTACTATTCCTTATGACTTTTGTCCTTATAATTACTTGTATTAGTCAGAGGAATGGGTTTGCACAAGTGAGTTAAGTTTTTTTTATAGGGCTGCATGTAAAGTTTGGTGATTTTACAATAGGTTTTTAACCTTGACATTAGATTATTACTGTTAATAAGAATTTGATGGACTAAGTGCTTAGTGCTGCCTAATTCAATAGTTATATAGTTTATAGCATGTTGCCGATTTCATGAGGTGATATGACTGATACTTTTGTTTGCAAGCTAGGTTTGTATTGCATTGGCAAGGCTCTTCTGAGCCTCTCATTTTTACTGAATAGGATGGACTTTATTTTATTTGAATTGCTATTTAGGGACTCTGCTCTTTAAACAAATCTTAGTTATTGTTTCACTTTGTTTAGATTTTTAGAAATGGCCTAAGGCATTTCAAAGAATGGCTTGTTCTCTCTGTTAGTAAAATCAGTAAACTGGAAAGATAATTTAGATGTATCTGGATAGTCTTATTCTGTACTGACGGTATTACAGTGGTACCTCGGTTTTCAAATATAATCCATTCCAGAAGACCGTGTGACTTCTGAAATGTTCGAAACCCAAGGGATCAACAGCCCACAGCTAGGCCTCAGGATCTTGAACTCAGCATAAGCTATGTGGCATGTTCGACTTCTGAGGCGTGTTCGAAAACCAAAAGAATTTACTCTGGGTTTACGTTTGTAAACCAAAATGTTCGTCAGCAGAGATGTTCGAAAACTGAGGTGCCACTGTACTTTGAATTGGCTGATTATTTGCTTTGGGACTTAGCAAAAATTGCTGGTGACTTTCACTTCACTAGCCATCTTTGTCTTTCCACACTTCCACTGTGGGAAATTTGGAATAATAGTAATAGGTAAGTATAATGAGTTATACAAGAAGTTTAAAGATATGGTAATATTTGTTTAATTAGTACAGGAATTTTATTTGAGACCTGCTTGAGAATGAGCTACCCATATGATACCACTGATTGTGTAACTTGTTAAAATCAAAACGAAGGCCACTAATCTAGGGGCTGCGTCATGATTAATGGAATAGAACAGGTTATGGTTTGTCAGGCGTTTTATACCATAGTTTGGCAGAGTATTTTGTTTATAACCATTGCTGTTAAATGATGCTTTGTTTCTTGAGATTCTTGAGTTTAATCACAACTAGCCACAAAGTGAAAATCATTGGGCAGGATGCCTAGAGTAGGACTCCTTATTCTTGCTAAGAGAATGGGTAGCGATGAATTGAATTCAAGGGTTGATTGTGTTTTTCTGAGTCAAGGTGACTATGGTAAAGATAACATAGAAAGGAGACGAATATGAACATAAAACTTACATGTAGATAACATAAATTTGGGGAAGATACATGTATATATACGTCTATGATACATGTGTGTATCTGTGCACATAGATATATAATACATTATGTATATAAAACATGTATATAAATTATTTTACATGTATAATATTAAAATTTTTTTCTGGGAAACAAAAAATTCTAGGAAGATACTCAGTTAATCCAAGAGGAAAAAAAAGTTAGAATTTTTAAGGCCTCAGAGCTGCGCCTGTCATAGGCTAACTTCATGACTCTGAGAGCACTCGTGTTGTATGTTGTATGCTTTAGGATCATTATAGGATTTAAGTGATGGGAAGGTAGACAAAAGCCGGAGAGTGAGAAAATTAAAATTTAGCAATGTGTTATGGTTAAGGGTGTCTTTTTAAGATTCTGTTTTGTCGTATTTTGGGGAGAGAGGGACAAGAAGGGAGAACTCAAAAATTTATTGCTGTTCAATTTGAATTTGAGCTATGTCCGTAAGTCTTTCCTAACATTCCAGTTGTGTATGACCAAGATGGTTAACTAGATCTATTAACCTACAAAACATGAATGTCCAAAAATTGGTTTCATTGTTAGATATACCTTGAAGGAAAAGAGAATTGGTTTAATCATTTTTGTGACTAGATGAAAGAACAACTGTGATGATCTAGATTGAGGGGACTGGGACTATTTTGTTCAGGAAATAGAAGATTTTAGAAAAGTTGGAGAAACTTCCTAGGAAGTGCATTTGTTTCTGTTGAGGCCAAATTAATTCTGAGAGAAGGTGTAGAACTAGTCAACAGTGGAGCAGGGTCAGTAGGGTTGCTTAAGCAGGGTTTGAACATCAGGAATGTTGCAGAGGGGATTTCTCATTGTGTGGGAGATTGTACTAGATTAATATGAAAGTCCCTTTCAAATCTTACTTAACTGGTATCTAACTCCACAATGTATTAGAAGCAGCAGATTGTTAGTGTGCCAAGCGCTCCTATTAGATGCAGGCTCATTGACAAGCAAGGGCAAGAAGAAAATCAGAAAGCAGACTAACTAATTTTAAGACTGTAGTAACCCGGGCTCATTTGATTAGATGAAAACAGCTCTATGTTAATGGATATTCAAAATGATAAGCTTGACTGAACTTAAATAAGTTGAGTATTTTCTATTTAAGAAGAATACCAAATTTTAGAAAGATATCTTTAGCATGTCCCATAACAAAAGGCAGATATTTGGCATTTGGAGGGGCTGCATTTTAGGGTAGAAAGAGCATGGATTCTAGAGTAGGAAAGACAAGTTTGAATCTGGCCTCCAGTATCTACTAGGTGTTCTGTTAATTAAGTTTATTATTCACTCCAAGCTTCAATCTCATCTGGAAAATAGGAATTTACTGAAGAGTAAAGACAATGTATGTACAAGGTTTGCCTATATTAGGTGATAAATAAATAATAGCTATTATTATTTCATTATTACCATAAAGCTTACTCTCCCTTGAGTGTTTTAACTGTGCAGGTAACCCATGTCTACTTTACAAAAGTTAGCATATTTCTGTATGTCTGTGTGTGTGTGTGTGTGTGTGTGTATATATAGAGAGAGAGAGAGAAATATTAGGATATATATTACCAAAAAGATAAAAGGAGTAATGTCACTCATCATCTTCTGCCACTGTTAATATTTAGTGGCATGCTTTATTTGAAAACTGCTTTGACATTCCTGTAGGATGGCACTTCTGAGAAGTGACTGTTGAAACTGAGTCTACATTACTACTGTAGGGAAACTTAAATTAGTCACTACACATTCAAATCAGAAAATATGCAGTGCTGGCCTGGCTGGCATGGCTCAGCGGTTGAGCATTGACCTAGGATCCAGGAGATCAGGGTTCAATTCCCAGTCAGGGAACATGCTTGGGTTGCAGGCTGGATCCCCAGTAGGCAGCGTGCAGCCTGCAGGGGGCAGCAGATCAATGACACTCTCATCATTGATGTTTCTCTCTCCCTCTCCCTTCCTTTCTCTGAAATCAATAAAGACATATTTAACAAGTTAAAAAAAATTTTTTTAAAGCAAATATGCAGTGAAAGATTGTCACAGGAAATGATGCTGATTTATAGGAAGCCTCAGTCCTTGTAAATTTTCTTATGTTAAAATCAATTTTGTAGATTCTGAGTTTGAGT